GTTTCTGCAACATGGCTATACAGTCCGGAAAACTCACAGCAATCCAGTAATTCCGTCCATTAAAGCTTTCGACAACACATTGCTCCAGTATTATCCATTTCCATTCTTATTCCATGAGAAAGTGGAGTCCTCTCCCACTACCCTTTTAAAAAATGGTGTCTAACTTGGAAATTGCAAAGGATCAAAGTTTGGGAACCCTGGTCTATACTGACCATATAATGCAGTTTCAAACTGCATGTTATGTCAGTGTAGATGGGGCCTTAGAGTCAAATGAGATGCTTAACATATATTTAGAAGAGGTGCTCCCTCAAGTGGTGAAAGATGTTTGCTTGTCAAAGCCAACACTTATGTGGTTTCTGTATTTTGCATTTTGAATATTTTATTTTGTTATTTAGACATAGAAAATGATAATAATTTGCAAGTCTGATTGTCGAGACACACATCTCTAGACTCATTAAAGGAAGGAAGGAAGCTATATTGCAGGGAAGGCATTCTTATTAATTTCTAGTTTGGTTCTTTTTTCAGAATATAAGGACTTTAGAAGTAGGCTAATATAATAACTCCCTAATGTCTTATTAACATTAATTCTTCAGTTTATAAGGATATATTTTATTTTTATTTCCAGCATTAAGAATTCTGGACTGTGGCACTATGAGTCAAGGGAAAGAAGGAGACATAGATTGTTTTTAAAGCAAATGAAAAAAAGAAGCCAAGCACAATAAAATAATCAGGAAAAATTCAAATGGACTCAATCTATGCCACATTTATAAATCTCCCCAGGATCCACTGTTCAATAACTTTAGATAATTATACCCAAAACAAAATAATAACTAAGGACTGAAATTTCTCATCCATTTGTGGTCCATTTATGTTCTTCTTAATTGGCCCAACTAAATGGAAATGAGTGTGTTTCAAAACTGATCACTCAGTTAGAATAACTCTGGAGTATACAAAGAGTTGGGATGTTTTAATCCTTTGCTGAATGACTTTAAAAGCTAAGCACTAAAGACATGACCACACATTGTGGTGCAGTGAGGGGAAGCAGCCATAGGGCTTTATCACACAAAGCCATTATTACAGCATTTCATGAGGGGGTGTCAGAGGGATCTCCAAAGACCATCAGGAAACACAGTATTTTCTGTTGGTTATTGAGGTTCTGTGTGGAAAGTCTGGCCCCATTCTATTGGTGGGGTTCAGAATGTTCTTTTATTGTAGATGAACTAAAAATCCCAGCAAGTACAGCTCCCAAATGTCAAGGTCTATTTTCCCCAAACTCCACCAGTGTTCATATTTGAACATATTGAGGATTCATGCCAAGTTTGGTCCAGATCCATCATTGTTTGAGTCCACAGTGCTCTCTGGATGTAGGTGAACTACAATTCCAAAACTCAAGGTCAATGCCCACCAAACCTTTCCAGTATTTTCTGTTGGTCATGGGAGTTCTGTATGCCAAGTTTGGTTCAATTCTATCATTGGTGGAGTTCAGAATGCTCTTTGATTGTAGGTGAACTATAAATCCCAGCAACTACAACTCCCAAATGACAAAATCAATCCCCACAACCCCACCAGTATTCAAATTTGGGCATATCGGGCATTTGTGCCAAATTTGGTCCAGTGAATGAAAATAGTAGGGCTGGGCGGTTTTGTTTCGTAATTTCGTAATTCGTTAAAAATTCATTATTTTTTTTTATAACGAAGCGATAACGAACCATTCAGGAGCAACTAAAAAACGAAACGAATTTTTAAATTCATTTCGTAATTGTTTCAAATTCGTTTTGTATTCGTTTCATTATCGTTTTGAAATCATTTCGTTATTATTTCCGCATGTCTGGGGCAAGTTTTATAGTTGTTGTTTGTTTAATCAGTGAAAAAAAATTATAAATATCACACCAACAGTCAACAACAGAGGGAGAGGGAAGCTTCAGAAGTTCCCCCTGTCCCATTTGGAGGTTTTTTAGCGTATTGCGCGGTCGCGTCCGCCATTAACGAATCGATTCGTAATTGTTTCGTAATTGTTTCATAATTGTTTTGTAATTTACGAAATTTCGTAAATATCGAACTTTTTAAAAGAAAAATTTCGGAATTCTTTTAAAAATCGAAACGCAAAAACCCCCAAAAAACGAATCGATTTTAGAAACAAATTTTTCCGTGGTTCCCCAGCCCTAGAAAATAGATCCTGCATATCAGAGATTTACATTACGATTCACAACAGTAGCAAAATTGCAGTTTTGAAGTAGCAGCAAAAAGAATTTTATGGTTGCGGGTCACCACCACATGAGGAACTGTATTAAGGGGTTGTGGTATTAGGAAGGTTGAGAACTACTGCATTATTACATGACAGTGGGATACTCTTGAGTTTCAGCCTGAATTTTAAAGCAGCTATGCAAGGTTCTGAACCCAGGTTGAGATTGGGTTCATCTCTTGGCTATCTCTTACAATGCTTAGACTGAAACCCAAAGCTGAATATCTGTTTCTGTTGGCTTTATAGTTGCCAGCCTCCACTGTAATTGATGGCTTATGTTTGAATAACTATAGAAACTAAAAAAGACTGGAGGCCATGGCCATTGATGGAAAGAAATGAATAATTTATGGTTTGTCATTCTTTGCAGAATGGAACATTTATCCAGATAATATGCAAGTTCTTTATTCAGTACTAGCAACTAGGCCTGGGCGGTTTCGTTCGTTAATTTTGTAATTCGTTAAATATTCGTTATTTTTAGCAATTACAAAACGATTACAAAACATATTTTCAAACCCGGAAGTGTTTTTAAATATCGAAACGGCATCCTCCATCTTTTTTACGGGCTTCCGCCCGTTTCGGAAATGACGTTTTAGGGATGGAGGATGCTGGGTGCGCTGGGAGCCAATCCTGCGCTCCCAAGCACCGTGGCTGATTGTGATTGGGCGGGCTGCCCTTTAAAAGCGGCTCCGCGTGGCCGCATTGCTCATTGCTGGGGAAGGCGAGGAGACGGGAGGTTCGGGAGGGAGGCTTGGCTTGCATTCATTCATTGCTTGCATTCATTCATTCCCTGGGCTGGGAGCAGCGGGGAGGCTTTGCCGTTCGCTCCACAACAGGGCAAGCATTTTTAAATATTTCTGAAAAATATCTTTCTTTTATTCTTAAAAAAATTCAAAAAATATTCTAAAAAAAGAAAAGACCCTTGTGTGCCTGTGTGTGTGAGTTTGTCCCTGTCCTGTGGCTGTGTTCGCTCCACAACAGGGCAAGTTTCCATTTTTAAATATTTCTGAAAAATATCTTTCTTTTATTCTTAAAAAAATTCAAAAAATATTCTAAAAAAAGAAAAGACCCTTGTGTGCCTGTGTGTGTGAGTTTGTCCCTGTCCTGTGGCTGTGTTCGCTCCACAACAGGGCAAGCATTGTTAATTTTCCATTTTTAAATATTTCAAAAAATATTTATAAATAAATATTTCAAAAAAAATCAAAAAATATTCTAAAAACGAAATTAACGAAATTAACGAAATTTCGTAAATACTGAACTTTTTCAAAGGAAAATTTTGTAATTATTTTAAATATCGAAACGCAAAAACCCCCCAAATACAAATCGATTTTAGAAACAAATTTTTGCGTTGTTACCCAGGCCTACTAGCAACCCAAACTGTTTGTGTTCTATTCTTGTAAATTTGTCCACACATATACACACTTATTAGTTGTACTTCTTGACATATTCCTGCATCAAAATACAATATATCCAGGGTTAATTTTTTCCATGTCAGGAGTGACTTGAGAAACTGCACGTTGCTTTTGGTGTGAGAGAATTGGCCGTCTGCAAGGATGTTGCCCAGGGGACACCCAGATGTTTTACCATCCTGTGGGAGGCTTCTCTCATGTCCCCGCATGAGAAGCTGGAGTTGACAGATGAGGACTAAAGCACTTCATCTTTGCCTCTAATATCCTTCCCTCCAGTGAACAGTTTGGCATTATTTCCTGGTGTATGGACTGGTTTGATCTTCTCGTGGTCCAAGTCACTCTCAGAATTTTCCTCCAACACCACAGCTCAAAAGCATCTTTTTTCCTTCGCTCAGCCTTCCCTGTGGTCCAGCTCTCGCATCCATAGGTTACTACGGGGAATAAAATTCCTTTAACTATGCGGATTTTTGTTGCCAATGTGATGTCTCTACTCTTCACTATTTTATCAAGATTGTTCATTGTTCTCCTCCCAAGGAGTAAACGTCTTCTGATTTCCTGGTTACAGTCTGCATCTGCAGTAATCTTCGCTCCTAGAAATACAATGTCTGTCACTGCCTCCATGTTTTGTCCCTCTATTTGCCAATTATCAATCAGTCTGGTTGCCATTATCTTGGATTTTTTTTTTTGTTTAACTGCAACCCACCTAACCTTGGTTAGAAGGCTCCTCAGCTCCTCCTCGTTTTTAGCCATCAAAGTGGCATCATTGGCATACCTAAGGTTGTTAGTTTCTTCCAGAAATTTTAACTCTAGCTTTAGATTCATCAGGCCCCAAACATTACATGATGTGTTCTGCTACAAACTAAAGAGGTTGGGTGAGAGTATACAGCCCTGCCATTCTCCTTTCCCAATCTTGAACCAGTCTGTTGTTCTGTGGTCTATTCTTATTGTTGCTACTTGATCGTTATACAGATTCCTCAGAAGACATACAAGTTGGCTTGGTATCCCCATATCACCAAAAACTTGCCACAATTGATTATGATCCACACATTCAAAGGCTTTAGAATAGTCAATAAAACAGAAATAGATGTTTTTCTGAAACTTCCTGCCTTCCTCCATGATCCAGCGGATATTGGCAATTTGGTCTCTTGTTCCTCTGCCTTTTCTAAACCCAGCTTGTACATCTGGCAACTCTCGCTCCATGTATAGCTGGAATCTACCTTGTCTTTATGTACCATATAGTATTTTCCAACTACAATCATGTAGAAGAGCTGTACAATAATGTACATATTTGGCAACTCTTCCTTGGTGGTAATCGATTTACTAAAAAAAAATTCTCACATCATTTGGGATTTTTATTTGTACACACTTTTTGACAGTTCACAGGACTCTGTAGGTTGAGCACAATAAAACATCTTAAACAATGTAAGTAAAGGCATAAGATGCATTCCCCAGATACATTATAACCAAACTATAGTTTTTTATTTTGACTGAATTCCGTGAGCAGTGGATTGCAACCTAGAACAGATAAATACTCCAAGATTTTCAAGGTTTTAGCTTCCAAGTGGTTCCCTTTATGACTGAAGTCTCCAATGTGTCATCAGTTGACACATTGCCTACCTCTTTTCAATTTTACACTGAAAAGATTTTAATATGGTCTCAGATATCATTATGGTGTTTGGGGGTGCAGAAGAGGAGAATATATGTTTCTAGGGTGAATGTGAGACATACAGGGAAGTGGGGTATATGTGTGTAAGTCCACTCTTTAAGCTGTAATGTCGTAAGACCCATGGACCGCCAGATATTTTGGACTTCAGCTTCCAGAATTCTTGGCTGTTGGCTAGGCAAGCTGGAGCACCTGGGAGTTGAATCCCGAACATCTGGAGGGTTTTTTTTCCATGTCAGGAACAACTTGAGAAGTTACAATTCACTTCTGGTGTGAGAGAATTGGCCATCTGCAAGGACATTGCCCAAGGGACATCCAGATGTTTGGTGGTTTTTACAATCCTTGTAGGAGGCTTCTCTCATGTCCCTGCATGGAGAGCTGGAGCTGACAGAGGGACCTCAACCTGCTCTCCCAGGATTCGAACTGCTGATCTGGTGGTCATTAGTCCTACCGACACAAGGGTTTTAACCCATTGTGCCACGGCGGGCTCCATAAACGTTCATCTGGAGGATGAATATTTGGGAATCACTGAATGTCAGAGGTTGTGTGGTGGGAATGCTCCAAAGAGAGTACATACTTTTTGGTTCTTGTGAGTGATTTGGAGTATATAGGACAATATAATTGGAAGCATGAACAACAACAAAGGCATTTTATATATGATTTGAGAAAATAATTGACTAGTCTTTCTGGGAAATGGGTACGTTTTGGGAATACAAACTGTGGATCCAAAGGAATCATTCTTGTAAAGGTTTCAAGTAGAATTCTGGAAAAAATTTGTCTTGTCCTCACCAGTGAGTTTTGTATGGCTGGCACACTCACGATGACAGCAATTTTTCAATGGAGCCCACAACACTTTATCACATATAGATTATCATAAGCATCTATTGTATGCAATCAGATGGAGGCTCTTTATGTAACCAGGACACTACAGGCTTGCAGTTTAAAATAATTAGCAAGCATTGTAAGCTCTGCAGAGTGGATGCACCACTGATTGATGTTTTGGCTGGATAGATCTTTAAGAATAATTACAACTTTTTTTTTGTTTTCTTCACCATCCGTAGTAAAAGTGAGTGCTCTTTAATCCAGCTATAAGTATTTTTTTTTATTTCAGTCCAGTGTTTCCAGAAAGACAAATACATAAACCTCTAGAGAGGACAAATTTCATTTATAAAGCAAAGTGGATAAAGGTAGCGGGGGGGGGGGGAGATGAGACTGCTTTCTGAATGTTCATTTTGCTGTCAAATGTGATGACTGTCATTCAGCCATTGCCATGGACACAGTCCCATAGAGAAAAGATATTCTGGAGGCAGAGAGGAGGGGAGCGGAGGGGAAGGGAAGGGAAGGGAAAGAAGAAAGAATGAGAAGAAAAGGAAAAGAAAGGAGAGAAAAGAAAGGGAAGGGAAGAAAGGGAAGGGAAGGGAAGGAAAAGAAAACAAGGGAAAAGAAAGAAAGGGAAGGGAAGGAAAAGAAAACAAGGGAAAAGAAAGAAAAGAAAAGAAGGAAAGAGAAGGGAAGGGAAGGGAAAGAAAGCAAAGGGAAATAAAGAAAGAAAAGGGAAAGGAAGAAAGGGAAGGGAAGTAAACGAAAGAAGAGAAGAAAAGGCAGGGAAGAGAAGAAAGGGAAGGAAAGGAAAAGAAAGCAAAGAAAAAGAAAGGGAAGGGAGGGGAGGGGAAGGAAAGGAAAGGGAAGGAAGGGAAGGAAAGGAAAGAGAGAGGGAAGCAAAACAAACTTCAGTTCAGTGGAACATATAACAGGCAATTTGAAAGGTACATTATAGTTTATCACTGAAACACATTCTCTATGTTGCATGGCCATTATTGGTTGCTCCGCAACATGTCCAGTCTCCAAACACAGCAGCCTCGAGAAGCAGATTGTCTGTTCGCACATCCATCTCTTTTTCTCCTCCCCGAGGACAAAAGATAAGCCATTCTGTCATGGTGACCAGCAGGACAGAAGGTCCATCTGGAAAGGGAAGATAATCTCACCTGAGCAAATCATTAACACCTTACATTATGCAAAATACAAACCTGCTCAAAGTAAATAGGACAACTCAGTCTGTTCTCTCTTGAGACTTGGAGGGAGGCAGAGTAAAGAGAGAGTACATGCGTCTGTGTTTCTGTTAACCTTTCCCTTCGTCCTCTTTCTCCCTCTCTTCCTCCTGTTCTACATTAAGCAATAACCAAAATATCTGGCAGCCCAGAATCAGTTCAATCTAATGGAGATAAAAAAAATGGCATATTTGGAAGAGTCAAGTTCAAGCTCTTCCTTCCCCGTTCACTGCTATGCAGGGGTCTTTCAATAAACGGGAAGTGTTGTATTCCTTCCAACTTTTCTCATTTAAATATTTTACATCTGTTTAATTCAGTGTTTGATTGCAACAGATAGTTTAATTAGTTTTTTTCATTTTTCGTTCACACATGCACATATGTGTGAACCATTTGCCCACACTCCAACAGCTCACAGATGAAAACAGGGGCTATACGCAGCCACAGGAAAAGTTTGACACTGGGAGGAACACACAAGCTAGGAGAGGCTGTAGCACTTTTGCACTTTAAACTCCCTTTAAAGCAGTCAAGGTAAGATGGGAAGAAATGGGGGAAGTGTGAGGCGGAGAAAGAAACTGGGACATTTTAAAAGCAGGAGTTTTTTTATCATGTCAGAAGTGACTTGAGAAACTGCAAGTCGCTTTTGGTGTGAGAGAATTGGCAGTCTGCAGAGACATTGCCCAGGGGACGCCTGGATGTGTTGCCATCCTGTGGGAGACTTCTCTCATGTCCCTGCATAGGAAGCTGGAGCTGAAACACAGGAGCTCACCCTGTCTCAAGGATTTAAACTGCTGACCTTAGGGTCAGCAGTTCAGCCAGCACAAAAGCAGGTAAAAATGGGAGAGTCTAAGGGTTAATCAGGAGGGTACTTGTCAAATAGGGACAATTATTGGGTATGCAACTACAATGGCTTCAAGCTACAGGAAATGAGATTCCATCTGAACATGAGGAAGAACTTTCTGACTGTGAGAGGTGTTCAACAGTGGAACTCTCTGCGCTGGAGTGTGGTGGAGGCTCCTTCTTTGGGGGCTTTTAAACAGAGGCTGGATGGCCATCTGTCAGGGGTGCTTTGAATGCTATTTTCCTGCTTCTTGGCAGGAGGTTGGACTGGATGGCCTACGAGGTCTCTTCCAACTCAATGATTCTATGGCTGCCATAGATGTGATCGAAACGTCAGGAGATAATGCTTCTGGAACATGGCCATACAGCCCGGAAGACTCACAGCAACCCAGTCATTCTGAAAACATTTGACAGCACAGAAGAATAAATGCTGTTTTTAAAGTGTGTTGTTCAAAAAATGTTATTAAGTGCAAAAACATCTAGCATATGTTAAACATTTGGATATTTGTGACATGGGGATAGCTGAAAGGATAGCTGAAGACAAAAGGTATTTACATTGTAGGATTAATGCAACTTTACACACTTTCACTGCCATGGGTCAGTGCTATGGAATCATGTAGTTTTACAATACCTTTAGCCTTCATTGTCAAAGAGTGCTAGTACCTCAACCAACTAGAAATCCCAGAATCCCATAACATTAAACTATGGTAGCTGAAGTCATGTTAAACTGCATTAATTGAACAGTGTAGATCCACCCACAGAGGCCTTCAAATGAGATTTCCTAATGAGATTATTTCTACAGTTCTATTTCAATTTTTGTGTGGGGAAAAAAGGAGACTGGAATAATAAGGAATTGAGCCTCACAAGCCAACTCTTTGTTCAATAATTAAAACTTCTTCTTTCACCTTTTAATCTAAAAGAAAATTCTGCTGCTTTATAACGACTGTAATTCTGATTAAAACAGGGCAACCATCGGCAGGAGCCAATAAGTATGAAGCGCCGTTCAGTATGCATAATCACAAGCTTTTCAACAGGTCTCTGTGTTTCTAATTTGGGAGTTGATTTATGAAATTTCTCATTGAAAGGACTGCATCTTGAGTTAATGAACATATAATACAGCGTTTGGAAGTAAAAACAAGACCTAATAGGCTTGATGACAGTGTCTATATGATTTTTAAAATATTAATACTGTGATTTTAATATTCTGCGAGGCACCTTTGGGATTCTGCTGGAACTGTCAGACTGCATATAATGCATTATTAATTAATCATTTCATCTTCCTGATTTAGAGATAATGAGAATTAGAGCAGGTCTCTATCTTTTTTTTCCATGTCAGGAGCAACTTAAGAAACTGCAAGTCGCTTTGGGTGTAAGAGAATTGGTCATCTGCAAGGACATTGTCCAGAGGATGCCTGGATGTTTTGATGTTTTACCATCCTTGTGGGAGGCTTCTCTCATGTGCCCACATGGGGAGCTGGAGCTGACAGAGGGAGTTCATCCACACTTTCCCCAGATTTGAATCTCTGACTTGTGAGTCTTCAGTCCTGCCGGAACAAGGATTTAACCCATTGCACCAATGGGGGCCTCCGGTATCTATCTGAATCCCTGGCTTCCAGGTGCTTTTATAAATATGTCATTATTTGTAAAAGATCATGTTGTTTCTCTGCATTGTCAATTAGAAAAATCCTCCGATTTGTGAATTTCTCAAAATATCCTTATATTTGCTTCATATTTTTCTAGCAATTAACTGTAGATAACTGTATAATATCTCCTATGCAACCAGAACCAAACTAGCTACAACATTTCTTTTTTGTTACCAGATATATTTCACTACCTCTGTGGCATTTTCTATATACGAGGGTGGGTCAAATTTTTTTGCCTCCTGTGTCATAAAAACGTTATAAATGAACATATAACAGCAGAAGTTGTTACAGATCATAGCCCAAACTATCCTCTACACAAAACTACCATTCAACATAGTCACCACTGTTGTACTCCAAAGCAGGAACACCCCTGTCCTTAAACACTACACCAGCTTGGTATAATCAGCAAGCAGTTTATTGAAGAATATATGTAAGCAAAGCAGTAAAAATGGTAAAAACAGTATAGTTCAAAGATACAAGATAATCCATGAGCTTCAAGGCACAAAGATAATACACAAGAGCCAAAGGTATAAAATCCATAGAACAAGGCAACATAAAAATCCAATACATAGATCAGGAGCCTGGCAAAAATAGGAATATGAAACTAGGAACACTTGGAAACAAGACCGTCATGAAATTTCAACATTGATAAAACTGAGCTAACTCTTTCCCTTGTATCAAAATAAAACTTTTCCTGACCCCAGAACCGAAAGGAAAATATTTCTCTTGCCCTTACAACCAGATAAAGATTTCTTATCTCTCTTTTCCTGTACCTGAGAACTTTATCTCTGTTTACAAAAGTATTACTTTCTATCTTCACTCTCACTTGACAAATCATACTCAGAAGACAGTTGTTTCTCAGAGAAAGACTGTTGAGGGCCTCTCCCAGGAATGTGACCTTGTGAATCTGCAGAAGAAACACTCGATTCATGAGACACCTTGGGCCTCTCACCTGGGCTTAACTCAAGCCCAGGAAAACCCTCATCCCCAGTGCCAACAGGCCCAGGCCCAGGAAAACCTTCAACCCTATTACCATCAACCCAATTACCATAACAAACATCAGACACAGTCACAGGCTGAACTACAACAATCATCAATTTCTACACATTTGCACCATCGTTTAACCCAGACATCAAAACCATTTTGGAAACCGTGTTGCTTTGATATCCATGATTTTAAAGCTGCTTTGATGTCATTCAAGTCATTGAATCTGACACCACATAGGTTGTCTTTCAGAGGTTGCACATTGCTGGTGTCTATTACAGCATCCCCATAAGCATTCTTCAAGCGATTATGGATTTCCTTAGGTGTACAACCTTATTTTGCCAGAAATTCAATGACAACTGCTGTGAGTTTTTCGGGATGAATGACCATATTCCAGAAGCATTCTCTCCTGACGTTTTGTCCACATCTATGGCAAGCATCCCCAGAGGTTGTGAGGTCTGTTAGAAACAAGGCAAGTGAGGTTTATATATCCGTGGAATGTCCAGGATGGGAGAAAGAACTCTTGTCTGTTGGAGGAAAGTGTGAATGTTGCAATTGGCCACCTTGATTAGCACTGAATGGCCTTACAGCTTCAAAACCTGGCTGCTTCCTGCCTGGGGAATCCTTTGTTGGGAGGTGTTAGCTGGCCCTGATTTTTTCCTGTCAGAAATTCCCCTGTTTTCACACTTGCCTCAGAAAGACAAGAGTTCTTTCTCCCACCCTGGACATTCCACAGATATATAAACCTCACTTGCCTAGTTTTCAACAGACCTCACAACCTCTGAGGATGCCTGCCATAGATGTGGGCAAAACGTCAGGAGAGAATGCTTCTGGAACATAGCCATACAGCAACCTAGTGATTCTGGCCATGAAAACCTTTGACAACTCAATGACGATGCTTTCTTTTAGCTTCAGATACATGATTCTAAACAGTTAATCGGAAAAAGAAAAGACTATGTCAGTAGAGTAAGGTTACCTCTATCATATCATGCATAGATAATCCAGTAGCTTTGAAATAAATAACAGTTAGAGCAATGGAGGCACTACTTTTTGACCTACCCAAGTATTTAAAGTTATACTTTGCCACAAATTGTATTTTAGTTATTTCTCTTTCGCTATTTAAATTCAGCATTTCCAGGTAATAATCCACTCTTGGCATCTCTGTTATTCATTCAGCTATTCAGCTCCACAAAAGAATCAGTTTTTCTGAACCACATTTTATGTAGGAGACAAAATTGCTTCAAGCCAAATAATTGATTTGCTTAAATTCTCCCAACGCTCTTCACAAACATCAAATGCCCTTCTGGAACCGTTATCAGCTCAGCAAAATACCTGAAGTAGAAAGATAAATACAAACAAACACAGTATTCATCTGATGTTCCAAAAAGGATAAAAGGCACAAATCTTTTTTTTTTTAAGCCGGGTTTTTGCGTCTTTTAAATAAGATTGTGATCAGTGATACATTATGGAATGAAGTGACTCATGACAGTATCCATGGGCCTACTTCCATGGAGAGACCCAAAATTTAGGCAGCAATGTTGATCCATATCAACAAGTTACTTCTAGTGCATGCAGGGGCATACTTGGTCCCTCCAGGTGTTTTGTACTCAGAGGCGGCCCTAGGTAATTTTCAATGGTAAGCAAGGAGTATTTTGGCGCCCCTCCCCCGCCAACCAATCACTGATATATATTTTCTGTTCGTCGTGGGAGTTCTGTGTGCCATATTTGGTTCAATTCCATCATTGGTGGAGTTCAGAATGTTCTTTGATTGTAGGTGAACTATACATCCCAGTAACTACAACTTGCATATGTCAAGGTCTATTTTTCCCCAAGAGCACCTCAAGAGTGCCCCTGGGCAAAATCAACTATACTGCAAATGCTTACTTTGCAAATGCTTACTTTGCATAATGGGTTGAGCCGCCCCTGTTTGGACTTCAACTCCCACCATTCATAAGAGCCTCAGGCCCCTTCCTTTTAAGTCGCTTAAGTTGGGAGTTACCCTGGACCGTGCTCTGACCTACAAGAAGCGCTGCTTGAATATCAGGCAAAAAGTGGGTGCTACAAAGAACATCATATGAAAGCTGACTGGCACAACCTGGGGATCACAACCAGATACAGTTAAGACATTTGCCCTTGAGCTTTGCTACTCTGCTGCTAAGTACGCCTGCCCAGTGTGGAACACATCTCACCACGCTAAAACAGTGGATGTGGCTCTTAATGAGACATGCCGCATTATCACAGAATGTCTACACCCTGCACCACAGGAGAATTTATACTGTTTACCCACTATTGCACTACCTGACATCCTCCGGGAAGTAGCAGCCAATGTCTAGTAGCAGCCAATGAAAGGACCAAGGCAATTACAACTCTGATCCATCCCCTTTGGATATCAGCCAGCATGCTAATGCCTTAAATCAAGAAATTGTTTTCTAAAATCTACAGAGATACTTGCAGGAACACCTCAGCAAGCGAGAATCCAAAAGAAACCCGGAAACTCAAGCCATGACTGATATCGAATGAGAGACTCCCTCCTGGTCGCACAAAAAAAATCCAAAACCTACAGAACAATTATGCCAATTCAAAGGGGGGGGGGCATTCCAAGGACTATTTTCCGGTTTTCCCAACCCCATGCAAGTTATACCACTGTTATATTAGAGAACCAGAAGTGATGTTACAGTGACTTATGAGTTACTCCCAAAAATACTTTTTGACTGTTTCAGCCTGATTAGGCTCCAAAACAACATTTAAGAAATTGTCGTTTGGTGATGCACCAGCACTCTTTGGCATCGAAGGCTAAAGACCTTCAAAAACTATAACTCCCGTGACTCCATAGCATTGAGCCATGGCAGTTAAAGTGGTATAAAACTCCATTAATTCTACAGTGCAGATGCATTCTAAGTGTCATTTGAGATATATGTTTATGTGCACATGTACATAAACATGTACAGGAGCTGAAGAATGCAGGCCACACAATTCATATTTCTGTGAGTTTTCAACTGCATTTATATAGTCAGTGTAGACTAACATAATTCAGTCCAATGCAGTTAAACTACATTATATGAAAAAGCATCACAGAATCTGAGAGTTGGAAGAGACCTCGTGGGCCATCCAGTCCAACCCCCTGCCAAGAAGCAGGAAAATCGCATTCAAAGCACCCTACAGCCTCTGTTTAAAAGCCTCCAAAGAAGGAGCCTCCACCACAATCTGAGGCAGAGAGTTCCACTGCTGAACAACTCTCACAGTTAAGAAGTTCTTCCTAATGTTCAGGTGGAATCTCCTTTCCCGTAGTTTGAAGCCATTGTTCCACATCCTAGTCTCCAGGTCAGCTGAAAACAAGCTTGCTCCCTCTTCCCTATGGCTTCCCCTCACATTTTTATACATGGCCATAATGTCTCCCTTCAACCTTCTGCAGGCTAAACATGCCCAGCTCTTTAAGCTGCTCCTCATAGGGCTTGTCCTCCAGACCCTTGATCATTTTAATCACCCTCCTTCACTGAATCTACACTGTCCATATAATACATTTCAAATTGCATTATATGGCATTGTAGGTGGGACTTTAAACATGGAGTTTTTGCTTTTTTCAAATGGCTTTCAAATGACAATTTAGATGTGAAGGGGAAGATAAGGATGCTACACATGGACCAAAGCATACTCTTCCATGGCTGAAGGTGACATTATAGCATGGCCAATTACGTTTGCAAGGTCGCTAAATCAATCACTTTCCAAGATGTAATTTAAAGCCAATAGAAACCCAAGACTCTATTCACAAGTCTACAGTATCTCTCTGCTCATATATGGTGTTAAATAATATCAGATAGTGACAAAGGACAGTGGAGGATTCACACACCTTATAGGAAAGGAAGACAGTTCTTACAGTGTGATCCAGTCTGCATTAGCACATTGGTAGTTTTCAAGGGTCTGACCAGACAAAAATCAGCAGGTGTCGAGTCTCATGAAATAAATCACTTACCTGACCTTCTCTGGATAACTGGCTGCTGTGCAGAATCATCTTCTCTGGTTCATTCCACCTGTAAATTATAATTGTCAGCACACAGCCACTGTCCTCTTGGTCAGGACGTGATGACAGGCATCATTCCTCAAAAAAAAAAAGCAACAGTCTGAGAGATTAAAAGTAGCCAAGACATTTTGCAGAATACATTTGAAACCGCTTAACCATGCACGTAATTTCTATTTCAAACAACTCTTAGCCTCTGACCTGTTCCGTCTGCTCCTCTATAAACTGCAAACAGATGCAAGTATTCCCTAAACTCCCTTTGACAATTATCTCCATTCAGATCCACAGACTCGGCACTTGCAAATTTCTTTGCAAGGGCATCTGACCAAATAAACTTAACTAAAGGAAAATAAATGCAGCAACAAAGGTCAGTAAAACTAAGAACTTGTTTTCAAATTACCTTGATGTCTCATCTGTTGATGCCAGAGTTCAATCCTGGAAACCTCCTACAAGGATAATGATGCCAGGTTTGGTTTGCAGGAATCTAAACACAGGCAGTCCCTGAATTACAAACATCTGACTTGTTGGAGCATGCAAGGAATCAGTGAGTGAGTGTATGTCAACTGTAAAATAAGATTAATGAAACTGATTGGTTGAGCAATTCCCGGGGAGCAAGCTGAGCCTGGGACTTTTGGATACTGTTACATTTTTGTTTAGGCTTGAGCTATGCAGGTGCAGAGGCAGACAGTTTGAAGAGAGAAACAGAAAGATACAGAGTTTGGAGTGTACTCTTGTTTCATGAGCTGCTAAAGGAGTTTATCCACATGGACAAAAGAAAGACCATTTTAAACCTCTTATAAAAGGACATTATGCGAGTTGATGCAACTGATCACATTGTACATATGTTGTTCTGAACTACAAGAGTAAACTACTTGTTCTTTCCTGTTCATCTGCATGGCATATTTTCTTTCTCTGTCAAGGTAATGTGTGGGCTGATCAAACATGAACTACACGTGGCTTATTTTACATTACGCCACAAGACGTACAAACAATTCATAGATAAAAACAAGGGTGAGACAACAGGGAGTAAGAGAAATCTACGCCCAGGAAGGGAAATTCACTCCTGGAAGAGTTATCATGGGGAAAAGGTGTCTCCTAGCAGTTTGAAAACATGCAAATGTGAGTAGATCAATAGGTACCACTCCGGCGGGAAAGTAATGGTGTTCCGTGTAGTCATATGACCTTGGAGATGTCAACAGACAAGATGAGCACCAACCCCCAGAGTCAGACATTAGGCTTAATTTCAGGGGAAACCTTTACTTTTACCTTAAAGTGAAACTATCATGAGGTTTTCCTGGCAGGATTTGTTCAGAGAAATTTTGCCTTTGCCTTCTTTAGACTGAGACTTGCCCAAGGTCATTCAGTGGGTTTCCACAGACCATCAAGGATTTAGACCCTGCTCTCCAGAGTTGCAGTCCAACGTTCAAACCACAACACCACAATGGCTCAAGCTCTAGAGAACCATAAAGTTCCCCAGATGACCCTGAGGATGCATCTTCATAGAATCATTGAGTTGGAAGAGATCTTGTGGGCCACCCAGTCCAACCCCTTGCCAAGAAGCAGGAAAATCACATTCAAAGCACCCCTGACAGATGGCCATCCGGCCTCTGTTTAAAAGCCTCCCAAGAAGGAGCCTCCACCACTCTGATGCAAAGAGTTTCACTGCTGAAATAAATGTAGTTTGATGCCACTTGAAGTGCCATGGCTCCATGCTATGGAATCCTGAGTGTTGTAGTTTGAAGTACCAACACTCTTTGGTATTCAACCCTCAGCCCAGTCTACCCCAAAAGTCTGTTGTGAAGATAAAACGGTAGTGAAAAACCAATGTATGTCACCTTGAATTAATTGCAGGACTATTGTTACTGTTGTATAGGAAAAAATATTGTTTTACTTCTCTAGCAAAACAGTTGTGACTATAACACAAAAGTAGGCAAAACTAAAAGAACACAAACATTACTGGAAATTCTACAAAACCTGGTCTTTAGTCACAGATATGTAAAGACAACCTGTGGTTTCCTGACAGTGCAGAACATACACAATGTATTGTTCAAAAACATCCTTTTCCATTGTTGGGCCCTAAGCCCTAACATTAGGCTGAGCCTCAGAAGCAGGTATTGCTCAAACTAAACCATGTTTAACATCTGCAGGGAAATATCCAGTTTCGCTAGCAAAAGATGAGGCACTGTAGGGTTTTTCCATATCCGATAGAAAACAACACCATCATCCCTTAGCTGCTTCTATAAAAGAGGGATGGAGACAGATAACAGAAATGTGAACCAATGATCATACTGCAAAAAAAAACATGAGACTGGCTGTTTGCATCTCTTTCCAGAATAACAAACCTTCTCAGGACCAAAACAAGCCCTAAAAGAAGAACACTACTTAAATTGGGGAAAGCATTGGATATTCAAACAGATGGATGATTTAAAAGTAAAAGGGCAGGGGATGGTTTTCATTACATTGGAAGTGTACACAACATTACTCCCAAGAATCTGTGGAAGATTCTTCTCCATCCTACTGCTTTACATCTGCTTTACATATCAAAGACTCCTAATGAAGGCTCACTTAAACCAAGGCTGTTTCTCACTTTTGCTTTTTCTTATTGCTCCAAGGTGCCTTAGGCAGGCCATGTACAGAATGCAGAGACCAAAAGCACAGAAAGTAGCCATAGCCAAATTAAACAAGGAAAGAAGAAACCAGGTCTGCAGAGAACAGTTCTGACAAGAGTTCCTAGAGATGAAACAGTTTCCATTTGTTCTTGATAGTGTCGTTGTCTAATATGTTGATGTGATCTTACCTATATTGTATGTATTTATGGCACTTATATGTGCTTCTGTAAGCCACCCCAAGTCCTATTTTGGGAGATGGTGGTGGAGTATAAAATTATTATTATTAAGATGAGTCCACAGCAAACAAGGTCACTCTGCTGGCTGTTGTATTGGATCACACGTTGGACACTTCCCAAGTGTCTAGGACTGTGTGATGTATAGGCAAATAATGTGTGCAGATCCTAGTAGGGCGGCCTTTTGAAGTGGACAAATGGGTTTTTTTCCATGCCAATTGTGTTTAAGTGTAGGCCAAGGTCTTTAGGCACTGCACCCAGAGTGCTGATCACCACTGGGACCACCTTTACTGGCTTGTGCCAGAGTCTTTGCATATTATTATTATTATTGATCCAGATTGTTGTTTTTTTCAATTGCACAACATCCCTTGAAGGTAGGACACCAGTCACGTTTTAGAAAAAGACTGAAGCTGAGAAGAGATGCTACCCAGATCCTCTGGGGCTTTGAATGAGGAGAGGTATCAAGGCTGGATTAACCATTAAGCAAAATAAACATATGGTTTAGGTCATGAAGGAAAGGGGGAGGGCACCCTGGAAATTTTCCATTGCTGGGTTTATCACAGCTCTTCCAGCTGTCACCAACCAACCCATCTGCAATGCCAGAAATACAGCTTAATGGTGTGACATTAGAAAATGTTGACCATTTCCACTACCTTGGCAGCCACCTCTCCACAAAAGTCAACATTGACACTGAAATACAACACCGCCTGAGTTCTGCGAGTGCCGCATTTTTCCGAACGAAGCACAGAGTGTTTGAGGACCAGGACATCCGTAGGGATACCAAGGTGCTTGTATTGTCCTCCCAACCCTGCTAATGACTGCGAAATGTCGACTATCTACAGACGTCACATGCAACTCCTGGAACAATTCCATCAGCGCTGCCTCCGAAAAATCCTGCAAATCTCTTGGAAAGACAAGCGGACAAATGTCAGCGTGCTGGAAGAAGCAAAGACCACCAGCATTGAAGCAATGGTCCTCCAACATCAACTCCGCTGGACCGGCCACGTTGTCCGAATGCCTGATCACTGTCTCCCAAAGTAGTTGCTCTACTCTGAACTCAAGAACGGAAAATTGAATGTTAGTTTTAAAGTTTTAAAAATGAGTTTAAAGCTAACCATAAAAATTGTGGCATAGACACCGAGAACTGGGAAGCCCTGGCCCTTGAGTGCTCTAGCTGGAGGTCAGCTGTGACCTCCAGCTGTGAAGAGGTATGAATGGAGGACGAAAGAGAGAAATGTGCCAAGAGAGAAATGTGCCAAAATGTCAAGCCAAACCTGACCAGGACAGCCTTCCACCTGGAAACCAGGAGAACATGCAGGTCAAGAATAGGGCTCCACAATCACCTACCTACCCATTACCAAGACACCACACTTGGAGAACAATCTTACTTGGACAATGAGGGATCGCCTAAGTATTTATTTATTATAAATAAATAATTACTTACTTCTCTACCCCCAAAGGGGGACTCTGGACGGCTTACATTTAGTAATGGTACAAGGCCGCTATGTAACATTTACAATAATATAACCACAATTAAATACATAAAGCAATAATTAAAACCAGTACATACAGCATTAGTTAAAACAGTAAAAAAAACAATAGCAGTGTCTGTTAGGAATTGTGGGAGTTGAAGTCCCAAACACCTGGAGGGCTGCCTGGTGTAAATGAAGCCAGTGTGGCATTCGGACCTAAACAAGAAGCCACCTTGGGTCTCGCGTTTCAGAAATGGAAGGGGAAATAAAGGGATGGGATCCCACCTGAGCCTTGGTCTCTCCTTTCTCGGGACCCTTGAGGAGGAGGAGGAGGAGGAGGAGGAGGAGGAGGAGGAAGAGGAGGAGGAGGTGCCTTTGGGTGGGCGTCTTCTCTCGGCTCTTTCAGAGGGCTTGCTCCCGACAAAAGCCCCAGGGCTCCCTCAGGGAAGGTCGCCCGCTGGACTGGAGGGCCCCCGTGCTGGCCACCGAGTTCTTCAGCTGCTTGATGACCCCGAAGAGAAGCAGGAAGAGGAGGAAGAGCAGCAAGAAGAACAGCGCCAGGTAGAGCAGCAAGTTGAACTCCCACTCCATCCTATCAGGGTCGCGATGATGCCCATCAGTCCCCAAAGCTCCCCTAATCAGTCAGAGCAGGATTGATGATGCCCAGTCTTGGCCCCGCTCCAAAGGGTAAAGTAGACCACCAGCAGCAGCAGCAGCCTTCTGGCTCTGTTCCTGCCAAGTCAGTGGAGAAAGAGAAGATCCATCCATCCGAGGGTGTGAAAACACACACACACACACCGAGAGGCACGCGCGATCCCTGATGCAAGCCAAGCCCTGGTGTTTGCTGTCGCCCCGAGGAACCCAAAGCCAAGCTCTGCGCCTCCGGACTTTCCTAAGAAACCCGCCGCAAAGCGAGTCAGCGTCGAGCTCGGGAAGTAAGTGTTCCGATGCGGGGGAGACACGTGTGACTGTGAGGGTGGTGACGGGGAAGTTTGTGCCCAGTGGGCAAAGTCGTCTGGGAAGCTCTCCACGCAGACAGGGGCAAAGCAGAGCAGCAAGGAGGAAGGAAAGGAAGAGGAAAAAAGGATACAGGTTGAGTCTCCCTTATCTCAGACCGGAATCACTGGGTTGTTGTGAGTTTTCCGGGCTGTGTGGCCATGTTCCAGAAGCATTCTCTCCTGACGTTTCGCCTGCATCTATTGCAGTTATCCTAAGAGGTTGTGAGGTCTATTGGAAACTAGGAAAATGGAGTTTATATATCTGTGGAATGTCCAGGGTTTGAAGTAGGCGTGAATGTTGCAATTGGCCACCTTGATTAGCATTTAAGGGCCTTTTCTGTGGTGGCCCCGCGGCTATGGAACGCCCTCCCCATGGAGGTAAGATCAGCCCCCTCATTGATGGTTTTCCGGAAAAGACTAAAAACCTGGATGTTCGAGCAGGCGTTCGGTTAACTCAGTGCAATAAGTGTAATTGATTGAAGGACTGGCAATTTGGACGACGAAACTGGATCGCGATTTTAGTCAAGAGATGAATTGGATTGTTTATTGATATATGTACTGTGGATTGTGTTTTTATGCTTTTAAACTGTATACTGTTGTTTGTTATAAGTTGTTGTAAACCGCGTTGAGTCGCCGGCTAGGCTGAGAAACGGCGGTATACAAATATAGCAAATAAATAAATAAATAATAAATAAATAGCAGTTTCAAGGTCTGGCTTCTTACTGCCTGGCAGACTCCTTTGTTGGGAAGTGATTAGCTGGCTAGGGAGAAGACTTTCTTTTTTTGGATTTTGGATTTTGGAACCCAAGGGCCATCCAGTCCAACCCCGTTCTGCCAAGCAGGAACACACCAGAATTATTTTGGGATTTTGGAACACTCATCTTTGCATATACAGGCAGTCCCCAAGTTATGAACAAGATAGGTTTTGTAAGTTTGTTCTTCAGTTGACAGGGACATTTTTGAACTCTAACTCCAGCCACATGCATATACATATACATAATTATAATATTGTATAAGAGACCCCATGACTCCCTTTATGTCCTGGTGTGGTTTGGGGGGGAGGATGGACAATGGATAATGGGATTTGTAGTACTTTCAAACCCTTAGGTTCCCACAGACCACTGCAGCCCCCAACAAAGACTGATAAAGATCAAACTTGGCACACAGAACCCCCACTCTACATCCTACTGAAGCTTGGAGGAGGGCAGACCATGGATGATGGGACTTGAAGTACCTCCACTCACTTCCCAAGACCATTGCAACCCTCATCCATGACTGATCAAGACCAAACATGGCACGCAGAGCCCCCGGGACCCACTCTACATCATAGTTTAGTTTGAAGGAAAACAGACCATGGTTGATGGGACTGGCAGTACCTTCACTCATTTCCTGAGACCACTGCAATCCTCATCAAAGATGGATCAAGACCACATTTGGTACACAGAGCCCCCATGACCCACTCTACATTCTACTGAACCTTGGAGGAGAGGGGAACCATGGATGATGGGACTTGAAGTACCTCCACTCACTTCCTGAGACCATTGTGACCCTCATTCAATGACTGATCAAACTTGGCATGCAGAGCCCCCGGGACCCACTCTACATCATGGTACAGTTTGAAGGAAAACAGACCATGGATGATGGGACTGGTAGTACCTTCACTCATTTCGTGAGACCACTGCGATCCCCGTCCAAAGATGGAGCAAGACCACATTTGACACACAGAGCCACCATGACTCACTCTACATCCTGGGACAGTTTGGAGGAGAATGGGCTATGGACAATGGGACTTCCATATCAGAGTTTTAGTTCACTTGCAACCACGGAATCAAGCTGATATTGGATGTAGACTAAACTTGGAACACAGACAAACAATGCCTTTCTCTAATAACCCGGGCACTGCAGGGTCCCCAAGCTAGTATATATAGAGAGAGAGCTGAGGGAGTGCCTTTGGAGGCTTCTCAGCACTTGGAACTATAGCCTATTTGTGGAAGCTGGAAGTTGTCAGTATAAGTGAACACCTCCGCCCCATACACACGTACATGTGTTTATTATATATTGTTTTTGGCACATTGTGCCACATCCCTTCGGGGAGATGGGTACAAAAATAAAGTTGTTGTTGTTATCACTCTGTCACATTCCCATGTCATGTGATTAAACCACACCTCTTTGTTTACAATCATGCCAGCACCTGTCCTTTACCCTTGGTAAATAACGTGAAAGTTGTGCAGGAGTCCTGTACCATTTTTGAAGCATTTTCCTTCTTACTTCCATTAGTAAATTATGTTTTTCTTTTGCTATATTACTTATTTCCCTTTGGATGTCTTAGAAATGGAGATGAGCATCACCCCCAGAGTCATATACAACTGGACTTTATGTCAGGGGAAACCTTTACTTTTTATATTGGACATATTGAGGGCACTTCTGCACATTGGACCTGTAGTGCATGCATGTGCCTTCAAGTCACCTAGTGACTTAGGGCAACATCATGGTTTCATGGGGTTTTCTTAGGCAAGGAATAGTCAGAGATTGTTTGACCAGTTCCTTCCTCTGAAATATAACCCACTGTACCCAGTATTTGCCGGTGATCCTCCATCCAAGTTCTGACTAATAACTTGTCATATTGATTTCAGCGTGACATAGACACAGGCCCCTTCTATACTGCCATATAAAATCCAGATTATCTGCTTTGAAATGGATTTTATGGCAGTATAGACTCATATAATCCAGTTCAAATCAGATAATGCAGATTATATGGCAGTGTAGAAGGGGCCACAGTTAACTTTCTCAAGGAACCATTACACATAATTCAGTTTCAGGACTGAAGACCAACAGTTGTAGGCAGGACTGAAGACCAACAGGTCGCAGGTTCGAATCCGGGGAGAGGCGGATGAGCTCCCTCTATCAGCTCCAGCTCCTCATGCGGGGAGATGAGAGAAACCTCCCACAAGGATGATAAAAACATCAAAATTATCTGGGCATCCCCTGGGCAATGTCCTTGCAGATGGCCAATTCTTTCACACCAGAAGCGACTTGCAGTTTCTTAAGTCTCTCCTGACACAACAAAAAAACCCAAAACAAACCAGCTCTTAGGATTGATAGTTTATCTTTGCATAAGTGTCTCTTTGAACAGTAAGGTCTAGTTTGAACATGGGTGTATTTAAAAAGGGGAAAAAAATCTTACCAGTATAATGCAATGGTGCAGAATACTGATAAGGCTAAATTTTGCAGACACTTTTCATAGTTGTCATTATAGACTCCATTGCCACATCCTTCAAAGAAAAACTAAAATGTTAGACAGCTGGGTTGAAGCATGTTTTTAAATATATATATATTCTAGCAGCTTTCATCTGAATCCAGTAGAGCAGGGGTATTGTACAGCTGATGCATATTTATCACCTACTGAAAACCATAGCACTCCAAAAGATTTTGAATTACAGGTGGGATACCTCACAACAATTTAAGACTGCTTCAAAAATGGACTTTGTTTACAGTTATTCCAAGCATAATAAGCTCAAAAGGGAACCAGAGAGCTGGAAGGAAGGCCTGGCAAATGGCATCTTCATCTCTATTAATAAAAAGGTCCAACTGCTTTAACCTTGCATGACCTGGCTCCATTATAGCATGAATATGATGTCCAGAAAACCTAATATTAATTTTCTATGTTCAAGAAGTTATGAAAGAGCTGATGTGCTCTATCAAATGTCTCACCATGGTCAAATGCTTCTGGGAAAACCACAAAGTTGGTTAAGTTGAATGAAATCTTTTAGTGTCTCATATATATAAGTTGAATGCTTTAAAATGTGCAAGTTTGTTCTGTATATGTGTATGTTATATGTATCCACTCATTAGAGTTGGAGGACACCTTGTCTTCGATATACACATGTGTGTATATGCTTCCAGGTCACCTGTCAATTTGTGGTGATCCTGTCATACACCAGAGCAGGAATACCTCTGACCTTAAACACCACACCAGCTTGGTAAAGTCAGCAAGCAGTTTATTGAAGAATATATGTAGGCAAAGCAGTAAAAAAAACTGCAAAAACAGTAAAGATCCAATATATAAAATAGTCCATAAGCTTCAAAGGAAAACAAGATCCATGAGGCACTTGAATCCATGAAACAAGACAGCAGGAAAATCTCATAGACTAGTGGATCTCAACCTGTGGGTCCCCAGATGTTTTGGCCTTCAACTCCCAATAATCCTAACAGCTGGGATTTCTGGGAGTTGTAGGCCAAAACACCTGGGGACCCACAGGTTGAGAACCACTGTCATAGACAAAATTTAAGCTTGGCAAAAACTTGTTACATGAAACTAAGGGCACCTGAAAGCAAGACCATGATAAAATAACAACATTGACCCGATTGAGGCAACTCTCCCATGAATCATTATAAAGCTTTTTCAGATCCCAAAACTGAAAGGAAAGCATTCCTCTTGACCTTCCCACCAGATAAAGGTTTGTTATCTCTCTTTTGCTGTATATGACCTGATCGTCTCAGTCTCTAAAGATTTTGTTTCTGTTTACTAATACTTTGCTTTCCGTCCAAGCGTTCATTATCTTCTCTCTCATTAACTTCTACATCTGGCAAATCATTTTCAAACAGTTGTTCTGAGAAAAGCTGTAAAGTGCCTCTTCCAAGAATGTGGTCTTGCGAATCCTCCTGAGACAGCCTGGGCCTCTTGTCTGAGCTTAACTCAGGCCCGAGCAAACCCTCATCCCCAGTGCCAACAGATCCAGGCCCACCATCAAGAACATCATTCATATTCCCATTCTGAACATCAACATGAACATCGGCATTCCCATTATGAATATCGGCATGAACATCAGACACAATCACAGGCTGAACAGGCTGACAACAACAGATCCCATGAATTTGATAGGGTTTTCCTTGGCAAGGAATACTTCCCCTTCTACACTGCCATATAAAATCCAGATTATTTTCTTTGAACTGGATTATATGTCA